ACAACCGTCCACATTACTACCTGATAGACCAGTTAACCTGGAACTCATGTCAATGGACTGTGGGAGAGAGCATGCAAACTCCAGCCAGAACTCATCCACGACCTTTTGACCTTCAGAATCTTATTGCCAGCTTGCTAATTGCCTGCTTTTAGGCTAGACATTTTTTTTTAATATTGCAAATTTTAGTACTAATACAATTCAAAAGGTGATGAATAATTCTATAGAAAAGATACTAGCAATTACCCAGGAAGGTTTTGCGTGTTAATGAACTTTATGGAGCCAAGTTTTAATGATCAAACCTCTTTTGAGGATAGACACGTACATTTTTGGTTTTAGGAACCTGATTTTAACTGATTTAAAAGCAAAGGGATTCCATGTTTCTCTCATCTGAAACCGAAAGCTCTGACACACGAATCTGGGAAGAGAAACTGGTTTAACTGGTTGGTTTCTGCTGCTGCACTCTGTAATGAAATCTGGGTTAAGAGCAGGAATCAGATATTCTCCTGTTAGATTTAGCCTGGGGGAAATGCTGGAAGTAAAATGTTTGTCCTGACTTCAGGCATTGTGGCGTGTTTCAGTGCAGACGCAAACAGGAAGAAACATTGGCTGAGAGACGCCAGATGAGGATGAGAAGTTCCAGAGGAGAACGAAGGTCAGAAACACATGAGCCTTAATGATTTCCCTCTGCAAAACAGCCTTGAGACGACTGGAACCATTTTAGATTGCTTAATTCAAATTTCCTGCTTGATGAGTTTTATTAAAAATGTCCGAGTTTCAGTGAATGCATCATCATAAGACGATAAAGCAAGACACAGAGGTGGGGTGTTTGTCCCCACAGTGGTACTATGATACAGAGATGTTAAGTAACTAAGTCTAAATAACAGTTAAATAGTTACTCTAAGTAGATTTTTTGGTATCTTTTCTTTACTTAAGTTTGTGTTTTTATGTGGACCTTTTAACTTTTACTCAATACTTGAACATAAACATCTGTACTTTCTGCTCCTCACTTTTCTCTGATGTTATATATACTTTGATGACAAGATGAAGCTGCAACAAAAAAGGGGAAAATCACGAGCTTCAAGAACATCTTATTTTGGCATTTGACCAATTAGATGAGCCCCTGAATAATATACCTAATGTAAATTAAGAAGAAATAAGTTAACAAGTCAAGAAAAAAAGGTAAAGTTAAAAAGTCTAGTTAATAATTATATTTAGGTTTATATATATATATATCATATACCAACTTCATCCATCTCCACTCCACCACCAGTTTCAGGCCTGAGGGGGGAAACAGCCCTGTTCTTTACTCCTTTTCGTGCGTATCTATTAAAATTAAGTGCTATGTTTCCTGTCGAGTTCTGAGCACCAAAGACGAAGTAATTGTATCAATAAATTTCTCCTGATTGTCTTTTCTCTTCGTGTCAGTTTTTTTCAGATTGAACGTCTATCATAGATAAATAGATAGGAAACTACTGCCACACCTTCACCGCCTGATACATTGAGGTAATGGATAAATGGAGTAAAACAACCGAGCTTTCCCTGCAGTTGGGGGAATGATTTTATGAATTGTATTCTTTATGAATCCTGTTTTTCAGATTTGACCCTATTTTTGAGACCAATTTTCATCAGATTTTCCTTTTTTAAAAAGTGTTCTTTGGTTTTAATAATATTGAAGCAAATGTATCTTCATAAATTTGATGCTAAAAAAAAGCAATACCCAGAGGATGGTGAAGGGATCTACTCTCTTAAAGGTACACTATGCAACCAGTGTTGATTTTCCAGCGAGGCTCCCCCCAGAGGGCGAAAGTAAAAGTGCACTGTCG